GCAGCGTGTCCCTGGCTCCCTCTACTGGAAAAAGTTAACATTACGTCAGTCCGCAAAGGAAAAAGATTGAAAGGGCCAAACTGCAGTTTAGCAGCTTGCAACTGTGAGGCCGTAAATCGATAACTGGCACACCATCTGATTCCATTTATGTGAAATTCTAGAAAAGAACATAGAATTTATAGTGACAGAAAGCAGATTGGTAGTTGCCTTGGAGTGGGGGTTGGAGTTGACGGTGAAGGGGCAACCCTTTTGAAGTGACAGAAATGTCTCTAGTCACATACGTATACAGTTGTTAAAACTCAAATTTATACACTTGAAACGTGTGCATCTTACTGGATATAAATTATGCACCAATAATGGTAATTTCTTTTTTTAAGGTACCCATTCTGTAAAAAAAAAAAAAAGAATTGAGTTGTATATATTAAGTTTGAGAGACCAATTGGATATCCAAGAGGAATGTTGATTATATATCTGGAGTTCAGAACTGGAGATGTGAGCTTGAGAGCCATTAGTGTATTTAAAGCCATACACGGGACAGGATGAGATTACCTTGAGGGTAGGACTGTGGTAAATGTAGTTAGGAAAGAGATCAAGGACTGAATTTAGGGCATTCATCATTTAGAGGCTGACAACAAAAGGAAGAACCAGCAAAAGAGAGCAGGATTGATGTAGAAGGAGAACCAGAAGAGTATGGGTCCAGGAAGTCAAGAGTAGAAAATTTTCAAGGTGATGATCAACTGAGTTACATTATTCTGAGAGAGATTGAGGAAGATGAAGACTGAGAACTGACTGCTGGATTTAGTAACATGGAAGCTACTGATAGCCTTAAAAGAGCTACTTTATGGAGTGATTTGAATGAAAGCATCAATGGAATAGATTTAAAAGAGAATAGAGGGCTAAAAAAGTGTGGATAGAGACAGATCAAAAGAATTTTGGACACATAAGAAGTACAGGCAGGCTCTGGAAGTAGGCTTGAAGCCATTTGAGTGGGAAATTCTGGAAACTCAAATACCCAGAGCACGTTTATGAGCTCTGGACAGGCATGTCTAATAATGTACCCATTAGCTACATGTGACTACTCCAAATTGAGATGTGCCATATAAGTATAAAATACATACTGGATTTTGAAGATTCAGTAAAAAAGTAATGTAAAGCATTAATATTTTCATATTTATTACAGGTTGAAATAACATTTTAGATATATTGGGTTAAATAAAAATATTACTAAATTACTTATTGCATATACCTTTTTAATGTAGCTACTAAAAAAGTTTAAATTACATTTGTGGCTCATGTTATATTCTGTTGGACATCACTGATCCAAACAAGTCTTTGGAAGACTTTTGTTATTTTTTAAATTTTATTTATTTATTTTTTATTGATTAAGGTATTACATATGTGTCTTTATCCCCCCATTACCCCCAACCCCCTCCCACTCAATGCCCTCACCCCACTGGTGTGTGTGTCCATTGGTTAGGCTTATATGCATGTATGCATGCATACAAGTCCTTTGGTTGATCTCTCCCCCTTACTCCAGCCCTCCCTTCCCTTCCCTCTGAGGTTTGATGGTCTGATCGATGCTTTTCTGTCTCTGGGTCCGTTTTTGTTCATCAGTTTATGTTGTTCATTATATTCCACAAATGAGTGAGATCATGTGATATTTATTTTTCTCTGACTGGCTTATTACACTTAGCATAATGCTCTCCAGTTCCATCCATGCTGTTGCAAATGGTAAGCGTTCATTCTTTTTTACCACAGCATAGTATTCCATTGTGTATATTACTACAGTTAAGACTTTTGTTATTAAAAAGAGTAGAGAAATGGGACAATAGCCAGAGTGAGATCATGGAAAGAAATCTGTTTATCTATCTATTTGTAGATGGAAAATATTGCATCAGTTTGTATACTAATAGGAATAATTCAGTAAAGTGAGAAAATACTGGTAATACAAGGGAGGTTCTGATATCTCCATGATGTTTACAAGGAAGAAAGGAGACAATGTCCTTGTTTGTACAAGAGGAGGGATTGGTCTTAGATAGGAAGCCCAGAGTTTTATCTGTAGTAACAGAGGGAAGGCAGAATATATAAGTACAGATACAGGTCAGTAAACATATACGGTGGGCCAGCGGTCGCCAGCCGGTGGTCCGCGGACCAAGTGGTCTGCGAGGTCTGAAAGGTTGGTGACCGCTGGGCTAGAGGATGAAGAAGTTCAGAGTGAGAACAGTAGAGGACTTGGTGGTGGTTAGAGAGACAGCCAGTATGAAATAGTTGTCGGGGAGTGGGAGAGTGAATTTATTAAGGAAGTATAGTAGAGTTGCCTAGTGGTGTTTTTTTTGAATCTCTGGTCATATCCTAGAAGTACATTGGATGAACATGTTAATCAGTCAGGGTTTTGGTAAGAAGCTCAAAAGGGGACTATTTACAAGTATAGAGAAAAACTACAAAGGATAGTGCTATACTTTGGGGTTTACTGAGTTTAGGCCTGAACCCAAAGAAAGAGATATCTGAGTTGGGGAGGTCCCTTGACAGCCACTGTGGCCTTTGATTGAAGGACAGAGATCACACAGGCTGGTGTTACAAGGAGGGAGCCAGTAGAAAAAATGTTGAGCCCTGATCACCTCCCTCCCATATCTTGCATGTAATTTTAACCCAACTGAAAATGGGGTAGGAAAAAGGAGTCTCTTGATGTCATCAATATAGGTTAGCCTTCCGCAACGCAGAAGTGTAGAGATGTACATGAAAGTTATGTAACACTATGTAGTTCTATGTTTTCTTTTCTCTAGCCACCTTTATTCATATCTTACTGTGTAGAATAACCATATTTGATATTTAATTATTTTTTAATAAAAAATGAGACCATTCAATGCAAAATGGAACTGTCATTTTGAAGTATTGAGTACTTTCCCTTCATATGGATGTACATAAGGATCTTCACTAAGAAGCAAATATTTCTTGAGTATTTACAATGTGACAGGTTTTATAATAGACACTGGATATACATGAGCTTATAAAGCATGTATTCTTCCCCTCATACAGCTTGTTATATCAGTGGTATAGCTTAAACTCTAATTTTTGGACATGTAAGTTTTTTCCAAATTTTTAAATATAACCTTCCAATCTAAATCTCTTCACATATGCTTCATTATTTCTTCAAGATACACTCATGGAAGTTTCTCCTCACATATAGATTCTAAATTTCAGACCAAACCCTTTTGTTCAAATCAAATTCTAGACCTTCTTTCACTACTTTGAGCCAGGTGATATCTCAGTTTGAGGAATATAAAAGAATTCTCCCTGTAAGAATGTCTTGATACTTATATAGGTAACATAAAACTTTGCCTTTATTCATATACTTTCATGTCATAAATTCATGTTTCATGCTATAAGCTAATTTTTTCTGTGCATATTTCCTTTCTCTTTCACAAACATGTATAATTTTCAAGGGGTGAGTCTGTTTTTGATATGTCCCTCTTTTTCTTAAAATATTTGAAAAACCTGGGCATGTATTTGTTCCCCGATAATAATTTTCCTTGGACCAATTAGATCTTTGAACTCTGGCAGAACTCTTTTCTTCTTCTCCTCCTCCTCCTTCTTCTTCTTCTTCTTCTTCTTCTCCTTCTTCTTCTTCTTCTTCTTCTTCTTCTTCTTCTTCTTCTCCTTCTTCTTCTTCTTCTTCTCCTCCTCCTCCTCCTCCTCCACCTCCATCTTTTGGCTATGACTGTATGGGAGCACTTGACAAACAAGATTTTTTTGTTAATTTCAGGGGTTGGTAACCTTTAGGGATGTGGCTCTAGGTTTTTCCCAAGAAGAGTGGGAATGGCTGAGCCCATCTCAGAAGACTTTATACAGAGATGTCATGTTGGAGAACTACAGGAATTTGGTATGGCTTGGTAAGGATGTCTCTTCCCCATAACTCAAAACCTTCCCTCTGGGGTGTTTTTGCTTCCTCCATTGGGAATATTTAGTGGTTAGCTGAATTTCTACTTCTATTCTCAGGGAATGATTTGAATTATATTTTTAGAGTTAGAAATGAGTCCCTTTGCTGTAGAATAATGGTTTGGAATAGCAGTATCAGTGTGCCATGGGAATATGTTAAATTGCAAATTATGGGTTCCCATTCTAGACTATGGAATCAGAAACTCTGGGAATAGCCCAGTTGTCTGGGTTTTTATGAGCCCTCCAAATGTTTCCAATGCCCATGAAAGTTTGAGAACTCTTATGTTTTCTGATTCAATAAGTCTGGGTTAGGGACTGGGAATATGTATTTCTGATGTTACTAGGTGATGGTTCTTTTGCTCTAGCACTTTGAGAACCACTGCTATGGAAGAAGTTTCATATTCTTCATCCTCCATTCTCTAGCCCTTCATCTAATGTCCTTTCTTGCCTAATGACCAAGAGATGTGAGTCCTGGAACAGCTATAAAATATGCTATCTTCCTCTCTCACTTTCATTTTTTTCTGTAAACAGGACTCTCCATTTCCAAGCCCAACATGATCTCCTTATTGGAGCAAGGGAAGGAACCTTGGATAGTGGAGAGAGAGATGTCAGATGGTCAATATACAGGTGAGTGATGGGGAACTGGGTAGGGCAGGCTGTTGTAAGGTTTCAGTACAAGTGGTCACGAGCAGGCTTCCCTGGTTCCAGAAGAGAACTGAAATCTCTTTAGCATGAACTTCCCTGAAACCTCACCTACACCTTGGGTTTTTTCCTATATCTTTTATTTTTTAAAATATATTTCTTTATTGATTTCAGAGAGAAAGGGAGAAGGAGAGAGAGTTAGAAACATCAATGAAGAGAGAGAATCATTGATTTGCTGCCCACCCCCCCCGACTGGGGATCGAGCCGCAACCCAGGCATGTGCCCTTGGCCGGAATCAAACCCGGGACCCCTCAGTCCGCAGGCTGACGCTCTATCCACTGAGCAAAGCTGGCTAGGGCCTTCCTATATCTTTTAAATTATATTCTCTCTAATACTTCTACCTATACCCTGAATTCCAGTCTTTCCCAGCTCTTCTTTCCTATTTATAGTCAGAATTGTATACATTTATAGATTTATTTTAATGAAAGTTACTATCAAAGTTATATATGCACAGTGTTCAAAGTAAAGAGTCAAGTGGTTTTATAAGACTTATTCCTTTAAAAAAGACAGTCTCTTGCCCTGCTTCCCAGTTTCCCTCTCCCTAGAGGGATCTACTTTATTTTATTTTGCAGTTTCTTTTGTTGTTTCCTTCATGTCTCTAACAAATATATTTATGTTGCTATTTTGTAATTGTTTTTTAAAGTTTAATCCTTATCAATATTTTCTCACCAAGAAAATAATAATTTAGTACTTTTTTTTCTTTTTCTTTTTTTAAATTAAATCTTTATTGTTCAGATTATTACATTTGTTCCTCTTTTTCCCCCCCATAACTCCCCTCCTCCCAGTTCCCGCCCCACCCTCCGCCCTCACTCCCCACCCACTGTCCTCATCCATAGGTGCACGATTTTTGTCCAGTCTCTTCCCGCATCCCCCTCACCCCTTTACTCCCCAAGAATAGCCAGTCCATTCCCATTCTATGCCCCTGATTTTATTATAATCACCAGTTCATTCTGTTTATCAGATTCTCAACTTGATTTTCAGATTCTCTTGTTGATAGATGTGTATTTGTTGTTCATAATTTGTATCCTCTCTC